GAATTAATTAAATTAGTTTCTTTAGGTTTTTGTTATTAAATTTTTTTCATTAAAAATAACTTAGAGTTTTATTTTAGGTCTAAATTAATTCCCTTTTCTCAATTAAAATCAGTTAGTCATTAGGATAAATCATCAATTATTTTCCGTTAAACAATTTCTCCGTTTCTTTCCACAATCTTCGCGCTTTACTTACTTTCGCATTAGTTTTCACCATTATGTATCTGCTAAAGGTTGTAATAGTTAATTAGGCTTTTTATCGCTTTCTTTCTTTCCCTCAATTTTTCTGGTTTTGTACCCCTCCCCTGAAGCATTGTAATAGCGTAAACTCTTTTTTTTACTGCTTTTACTTATTAATATATAGTAATTAGGCGTGTATGGAAAGATAGAATCAAATGCTAGCTAACCCTAATATACAAGACAAAATACCTAAAAACAAATCACTTTACACACACGCACGCACCTCTAGGGTAATCTCACTTGTTGCCTTCGGATAAAAATGGTCATGCCCCTCGAACATAGGGATACCCTTAGCAAAGACCTTCGGTTAAAAATCATCATAAAGATCATAGTACCTCGATGACCCTTCGATGCTGCCTTCGGTGAATGATCTTGTTCCTCGATGTTTCCTACGAATATATGATGATGTCCCTTCGAATTGCTAAAGGTATCCCTATATGTTACCTTCTGTAACCATAATGATGACCCGCGCCTGTCCCTAAAACATCCAATGATAGGGCTTCCTACTAACTAATAGTAGGATAGCACTATCTAAAGGAAGAGGAAAATAAAGCGAAAGACTTTTGAGTAGGTAGATAGCTCACAAACAAAAAACATTTTTTACACAAAACACTTCTTTTCTGAAATATTTTCAAAACAAACACTTTGTATGCGTTCTCAATGATACGAGAGTCATTACAAATTTTGTCGCACTTAGGCATTTGTTTTAAAATATTTTTCAAAACTTGCACATTCACAAAGCATTTTCAAAAATGAGCTAGCGATTAAGAGCCCGTAGATAACTACGGATGAAAAGGGTGTTAACACCTTCCCTTTTCATAACCTACCACCCAAACTCATAAAAATTCTCAAAGGTCTTTCCTTTTATTTTCACCCTTTTCTTATTGGATAAAAGAGAAGTCGGTAGTGACTCTTGCTATCTGCGAAATTTGCGATAAAACGCAAACCAAGTCAGTTCTTCCACCGTATTACAATAGGTATAAATTTCGGTCAAATAATTATCTGATATGTTCCAATTTATTTTTAAAGGATATAAAATCATTTTAGCTTCCTACTGGTCTAAATGGCGCATCAAACGGACATCTGAGTCAAAAGTTATGAATTTAACAAGTTTAAAAAATTTATGTCAGCTTCAGTGGGAATCGGTTCCCGCCAGGAGGGTACCCGATTCCCTCCTCATAGTCTTGTGTCCAAATTCCAAAAATACACTGGGAAATTGATTCCCTCCAAGAGGGTACCCGATTCCCTCCTCACAGTTTGTTTTCCCATACCCAAAACTATACATGGGAATCGGTTCCCGCAGGGAAGGTACCCGATTTCCAATTGTTCCAACACCCCAAAACTCCAATTTTGGAAACAAAATAGTATCTTTTATGCTACCAATTATGCACCAACATCGACCATCATCTAATTCAGTTTGCATCATTGATTTCACCAATTACACACACAATTACATAAAAAATTCATCAATAGGTAAAAACCCTATAAAGCAAAATAGTGAGAACTCAAAAATCTATAACTATGGGAACCTAATCACTACCGTTCCACATTATTATGCAACCCGTTATAGATTTAGAATCTCACCCTTACTTTGGATTGACGATTCTTAACTCCTTCGTTGAATTCCATTGCTCTAGCCTCTTAGTGCATTTTCTCTTCTTTTCACTTCTACGCTTCTTCACTGTTTCTACGTATTTGACTCTTTTCTAACTTCTCAATTCTATTTTATTCCACTACTAACCCTTAGACCTATAATTCATAATTCCAACTTTTCCTTTATCTAATTAAATAATTATTTAATTAAATAAAAATAATTATTATTCTATTATTCTATTAATAATAATAAAATAATTACTAGTCTTCTCACCACACCCCCATGGTTCTATGGTTTCGGTCATACACCCTTATTGACTTAATTTCATAATAACTAAGGTAATAATCTCTCATTATAGTTCAATAGCACACAATATCATTCATCAAAACACACCAAAAATACCGCATTCGAATAATTGCGTAATTTAAATAATTTAAATTAAAAACAGAGTGTTACACTTACTTGTGTGATTTCTCTTGTGAATTTTAAGTTATTACCTCTTGTGCATGATCCCTAGGGGATCCTTTGACATGTCCTAATGTTTACTTTGATGCAATGTGGCTTCCCTTTGTATACTCATTACTTGTCTTAGACTTAGGTCAATTCTTGCCACTTGTTTGAGTTTCAGCTTCTTTCACCATGCATGTTTGTTTTAGTTAGGTGATGTTTGCTAACATGTGACCTCTTGGTGATGATTTATGATGTCTTAAATTACGTTTAGACTTAGGTATTCACCCTTGTCTCTTATTTTCTTGATGCCTTTAACATTGTTTGAAGTTATGTCTTCTATTTGCTTAATTGTACTTCTACTTTCCTAGTTAGATGATTTCATCTTCCTCTTGACTATGTTGCCTTGTTTCTGGTAGAATTAGGATGATAATTTGTTAGGGGCAATATCTTTGAATTTTTTATATAACTTCATAACATGCCTTCGTTGGTTGGTCAATAATTTCTTGCTTGCCTTTCTTCTTTACTTGCCCAAGTACTTGTGTGCTAGTCTTCTTTGTGTGATCCTTGTATGATCTTTCTCCCATATTTGATACAATGTCGGTATGAATTTCTTGAGGTATACTTGATGACTTGTAAAGGTCTTTACCTTGCTTGCTTCACTTCATCTTCGTTTGCTAAGTTTTGATGTTTGTTTGACACTTAGAGCCTTGAGTGCTTGTGTATTTGTTGATTGCTTATGTTTAGTTTGTAATGTCTTAGGGTAAACCGTTTGAGCATGACCCTTAGGGGACCCTAGTGCGTATGTGTGTTAAGTCTTTACTTAGACGCATTTTTACTTGGTGATTGATGACTTGAGACATGTTAGAGTTTAGGCTCTTGTTGGTTTATACTTGTTGGTTGATGTTTGACTCTTGCACTTAGGTGTTTGTTTGGCTCTTAAGCCATATCTTTTGAGGTTTATGCTCATGTTTATGTGATCGTGATAACATGTTCCTTTAGGATTTTAGTTTCATTTTCTTTAAGATGTGAACTAAATAGACCTTAGGTTATAAACTAAGCATGACAACATTAGATAGCTACCTTTATCCTTAACCTCGGGTCCATCTTTGCATGCTAACTTAGATAGATGTTTCCTTTTCATCTTAACCTTATGACCACCATTGTATGATAATATTAGGATCTCTAGTATCCCTTAGATTTTTTCATTCCCCTTTTGCATCCCTAAAACTAAAACTTCTTTTTTTCTTAATCAAAACTCAAAAACACTTAACAATAATGATATGAATCATGTGTCACGAGTCTCAAGCATGTGTGAAGCACTATGGATACGAGGCGTCTGACTCGACCATCCATAGTCTCTCATGTCATAGTCTTTAATGTGATTCAAATCACCAAATCCTTTTTCAAGGTAAAAAATACAAACCAATCAATCTCTTTTGCCTTCGGATTTTTCTTTTGAAAACCTTTTCACAAAAAGGATGTGTTATTTCCACTTTGCGCAATACGACGCGTGATTTCCCAAAGGTCGGTTGCAATATGTCAACTGCTAGAGTGTGAATGTAACATTATCCGCCTAAAAACACAAAACAAACCAAAACACATTTTTAGGTGAACTACGAGTGCCCTGATCCCATATTGCACGAAAGGTGGTACGTAGGCACAAAGGTTCACAACCGTGGCGGGCGCAATAATATAAAATTTCTTTTTGTATATACTTTGCATTCATGCATCCCCCTTAGCTTGTTAGCTTTAGATTATACACACTCTTTTGATTAGAACAACAAGGGTTGAATCCCGTAGAGTACCACAGACGTGAGGGATGCTAATATCTTCCCCTTGCGTAATCGACTCCCGTACCCATTTTCTTGATCACGAGACCTTGATTTCTCCTTTGTTTGATTTTCTTCGATGTTTTCTTTTTTCTTCTATGAGATAAATAAGTATTCGATGACGACTTCATTATTTATTTTTTCTAGTTTCTTCAAGGTGCATATGTAAAAACAGAAACAAAGTCTTTGAAAAATCCCTTAGATTTAGTTGGAGGTGCAAATTTTAAAAGAGAACCACAATCATTAAATAATCCTTTGAATTCAATTGGAGGTACGAATGGGAAAAGAGAATCACAATTTATGAACAATCCTTTGGATTCAATGAAAATACAGTCTTAGAATTATATTGCATCTCTAGCCAAACCTGATAGTCAACTAATCACTCAAATGTCAGAAAATAAGAAATTATATACATATCAAGAAACTATGAATTCAAATGATGATTGCTTCATAATAAAATATTACCTTTAAAAAAAAGATTCTTCAATAATAGTCGTGTGTCCTTGAACGACATATCCTTAAGTTAAACAGTTAAATAAATATATTACTTAAAAAAATAGAGAAGTAGTAACAATAGCCCAAAATTTTAATTCTAAAGTGTTTAAATAATAATAGTAAACTATAAAAGAAATTGAGGAACCCAAGTGAGAAAAAGGGAGTCTTTGTCTTGGAGAGGATCTGACAAGTCTCAACCTCAAAAAAACAAAACCTCAAACTTGTAAGTTGTTAGCACATTACACACGTGTCACTTTCTGTCTTGTTCCTCCGTCAACCCCAACACTGTCACAGTCATTCGAAACAAACACCACTTTCTTTCTTCTTTCGCTATAAACATCTCAACAAGCTTTGTCTCCATATCCAAAGTTACCATTTTTCCAATCAGAAAGAGCATGAAACTAAACTCATCTTTGAGAATACTCACCTACATTTCAACAAACCCAATTCTCAGACTTAGACATTACTCCCTTTTATGTGATCCTCACATTGCACAACACCTGTTCGACAAAACTCCTCAGAGACTAACAACTCTCAAACAACATAACCAATTACTCTTCACTTACTCTCGCAATAACCAACCCAAAGAAGCCCTCCACTTATTTGCATCCCTTCTTCGTTATTCTTTACCACCTGATGAATCAACGTTCTCATGTGTTTTCAAACTTTGTGGTGGCTCATTTGATGGGACAATGGGTAGACAAGTTCATTGTCAATGTGTTAAATTTGGACTTGTGTGTAATGTTAGTGTAGGAACTTCACTTGTTGATATGTATATGAAAACTGAGTCTGTTGATGATGGGAGAAGAGTTTTTGATGAAATGGGTGAGAGAAATGTTGTGTCTTGGACTTCCTTGCTCGCGGGTTATTCGTTGAACGGATTTTATGATTATGTATGGGAGTTGTTCTGTCGGATGCAATTTGAGGGTTTTTTGCCGAATCGGTATACGGTTTCTACTGTAATTGCAGCTATGGCTAATCATGGTGTTGTTGATGTAGGATTGCAAATTCATGCCATGGTTGTGAAACATGGTTTTGAAGGAGCGATACCTGTTTGCAATTCTCTGATTATTATGTATTCGAGGTCAGGGTTGTTAAGAGATGCTAGAAATGTTTTTGATAAAATGGAGAACAGGGATTGGGTTTCTTGGAATAGCATGATTGCAGGACATGTGACAAATGGACAACATTTGGAGGTTTTTGAAACTTTTAAAAACATGCAACTTGCAGGGGTTAAACCTACTTACATGACATTTGCTAGTGTTATTAAGTCATGTGCTAGCCTTAGAGAATTGTTGTTAGTAAGATTGATGCAGTGTAGAGCTTTGAAAAGTGGTTTTACCGAACACCATAGTGTCGTAACCGCACTCATGGTAGCATTGAGTAAGTGCAAGGAAATGGATGATGCGTTTAGTCTATTCTTGTTGATGGAAGAAGGTAAGAATGTGGTGTCATGGACTGCTATGATCAGTGGCTACTTGCAGAATGGTGGCACTGACCAGGCTGTGAATTTGTTTTCTCAGATGAGGAGGGAAGGTGTAAAACCAAATCATTTTACGTATTCTGCCATCCTTACTGTGCAGCATGCTGTTTTTGTTTCCGAAATGCATGCCGAAGTTATCAAAACTAATTATGAAAAGTCATCATCATCAGTAGGAACTGCACTTTTAGATGCGTATGTTAAGGTAGGAAATATTAGTGATGCTGTTAAAGTTTTCGAGAAAATTGAAGCGAAGGACTTAATGGCATGGTCAGCAATGCTAGCGGGATATGCACAAACAGGAGAAACTGAAGAAGCTGCTAAAATCTTCCGCCAATTGATAAAAGAAGGGATTCAACCAAATGAGTTTACATTTTCCAGCATCATAAATGCCTGTGCTGCTCCTACCGCGGCAGCAGAACAAGGAAAACAGTTTCATGCATATGCAATTAAAATGAGATTGAATAATGCTATATGTGTTTGTAGTTCTCTTGTTACCATGTATGCAAAGAGAGGCAATATCGATAGTGCACATGAAGTTTTCAAAAGGCAGAAGGAGAGGGACTTGGTTTCTTGGAACTCAATGATCTCCGGATATGCACAGCATGGCCAGGCCAAGAAAGCTTTAGAGGTATTTGATGCGATGCAAAAACGAAACATGGAAGTGGATGCTGTAACATTCATTGGAGTCATTACTGCCTGCACTCATGCTGGCCTAGTGGAAAAAGGTCAAAATTACTTCAATTCAATGATCAATGATCATCACATTTATCCAACGATGAAGCACTACTCCTGCATGATCGATCTATATAGCCGTGCAGGAATGCTGGAAAAAGCCATGGATATCATAAATGAGATGCCGTTTCCACCTGGTGCAACTGTGTGGCGCACTCTACTGGGAGCCGCTCGAGTACACCGCAACATAGAGCTCGGAGAACTTGCTGCTGAGAAACTTATTTCTCTTCAACCAGAAGACTCGGCTGCATATGTCTTATTATCCAATATGTATGCTGCAGCAGGAAACTGGCAAGAAAGAACCAGTGTGAGAAAACTAATGGATAAGAGAAAAGTGAAAAAAGAACCAGGGTATAGTTGGATTGAGGTTAAAAACAAGACATACTCATTCTTGGCTGGTGATCTGACACACCCTTTGTCGAACCAAATTTACTCAAAACTTTCAGAGCTAAATATCAGGTTGAAAGACGTGGGTTATCAACCTGATACAAACCTTGTATTTCATGATATTGAAGATGAACAGAAAGAAACTATTCTTTCTCAGCACAGTGAAAAGCTAGCTATTGCTTTTGGGTTAATAGCTACACATCCTGAAATTCCTATCCAGATTGTGAAGAATCTAAGGGTATGTGGAGATTGTCATAACTTCATCAAGTTAGTGTCACTCACTGAACAGAGATATATTGTTGTCAGAGATTCAAATCGGTTTCATCACTTTAAAGATGGATCGTGCTCATGTGGGGACTACTGGTGATATTCGAGATATAGTGTGTAATTTTGAAGATGCTTAGCAACATGTGCATTAGACCTTTTTATTTGGCAGAGAAAAATGTAGATTAGGGGAGACAACCATCATGCAAGGTCATGAAGAACACCAACTTCATTGAATATTTACAATGGAGTTTATGTATGACCTACTAGTCTTGAAATTTCAGACTTGGAAGCAAATCTCAGAGGGTTTGAGAAGGTTGAACTGCAGTCGGCATTGTGTTATACCTTTGTTTGCCAGAGAATCCATGAAAGCATCTCAATGAAGCATATAATGCCTTTATGCAAAGAGAATCATCGGATTAGGAATTGAAATCCCGAGTATTTTATATGGTTTCTACACCCTGAGATTCTCATGGTGGATATTTTTCAACTTGGGAAGGATGATTCATCAAACAGAACTTTGAGAAAATATACCTCAAATATTGCTATGACAAAATGGTTAATAGCATTTCTATAATTTGTTAATTGATTGCACGAATCCTCAAAAGTCCCAGCCATTTTGCTCTCATAGATTGTCTATACGGAAATCCCAATTTCATTGAATTACCCAAAAAAGAAAGAAAGAAAAACCGATGAATTGCGTCCAAATGCATTGCTTAAGATGATGTACATGCATTTTCACTTTTGTTTAGTAGCAGTAGAAAACTGTTCTATTGTTTTTTATAAAATTCGGTATTCGACCATAGAGCCGTTTAGAGGTGTTCAAAACTGAATCAATTCAATAAAATATTGCAAATCAAATTGAAAACTGCAAAAATCGCATTTAGTTTGGATGTGTTTGAGTCTTCTTTAATAAAATTGCGCGGTTTGGTTTGCGATTTGTATTTTACGAACTGAATCAAACCGCATTATGTTACAACTCAAATTTCTCTTAACTCATATTCAATCCAAACTTAAACCTATTATGTAGAAACCGGATTTTAAAAAATGGCACAAAGGAAAAGTATCGGGACAAGTCGCGTACTAGGTCGCTTTCTTTAAGACGTTTCGTCGTACTGCCAATATTAATGCAAAGCAGTCGAGTTTCGACGACGTCTCCAGGATAAAACAGTCCGTTCAATTACGACAATTACTTGCACTATAATTATAATTAGTCGTTCGTAAAATGACACCTTTTGGATACGAAGTGATTCTAGAACTGCCCAAATGAACCGAAACAACTTAATTTATAAGTAAAAAGGTCCAACTGAATGGAACAGGTCTAGTGGGAGAAAATACTGGGAGAGGTGGAATTGACTCAGTCAATAACCACTGAATAATTAGGTTAAGACTTGGTCGGCAAGCAAAAACCAGTCAATAATTAGGTTAAGACTTGGTCTTTTGTGCATGACACATCACCATCTATTAATTAATTAATAATAATATTAATATTAATTAATTTCCCCTCTTTGGGGACTAAAATGAATCTTTTAAAATTCACTTTCATGCTAGTTCTTACTTGTGCTCATTTATTGCCCATTTAATGTCAATAAATTATTCCAACTCTCATTCCAAATTTACATCATACCAAGATTTCCAACATATTATGCCTTAGTCTTACGATTACAAATGATTTTCTCTTCCTCACACTTACGAGTTAAGTTTCAGCCTTCTCAAATCTCTCCTAGTAGTATATCCCTTCTTCTCCAAATAGATTTTGCCTCTTCTTCTCTAATCTCTAATCTCTACTCTCTTATATTCTTTCTTTTTCACTTTCTCATTTTTATGTTATTGTTCTCTCTTTCAATTTCGTTTGTATCCCGCGTCTTTTTCTCTAATCTCTCCTCTCTTTTGTTCTTTTTTTTTTGTCTTCACTAATCCCTCATCTTATTTTTTTTTATTATAATATTTTTGATATTGTTTTATGTTATTATTTCACTTTTGTTTAATATGATTTTTACATATTAAATAGGAAGTTGTGGTTCAAATATGATGAGTTTTATTGTTATTTGATAAAGTATGAATGATTAAATACAAAATTATGTTGTCATCTATATGTGTATGTATAGTTCAATAAATTTTTTTAAAAAACCGAACCAACCGAATTAAACTAATCGCATATTTTTTTCTCTTACAATTCGAATGATTTTTTTGTCAAAATCGCTCAAACTATACCGTAAATATCGGTATAATCGTCTATCGTCTAATTCGAAGGAATCAATTTCACTGTCGTCTAGCAGTACCCATTTAAAGGTAGAATAAAATTCTGATTGGACTGGTTCAATACAAAAAAAAATAATTCTTATTGGACTGGTTCAATACAAAAATTATAATGCACTTAGTAGGATTGGAATTTGAGATCGATTTGAATTTGAGATCGTGAAAGTAGCAAAAACTTTGTTTTGTTTTATAGTATATTATTACAAAGTTGCATTACAATAAATAAAATGATAACTTTGTTTAAATAAGAAGAAAATTCAAATCTAACGAGGGGTTTACACAATAAATGAAAAAAATAGCTATAAGGATTTCTAAAACCAACTAAAGATTTAGAAAACAAAACCAACACGGTTTAGTATTTATGACACTTCTAAATTGGTGTGAATTTCAATCACTTTAATCTTACAAGTTGGTTGAACCATTCAATCGGTAAACTCTTTATTAAGACATCTGACAACTAGTATCGAGAAGGAATGTAGATTATAGCTATCAATTTAATGTCAACGAAATGTCAATCAATCTTAATGTGTTTGTCCAGCCATATTGAACAGAGTTATGTGCAATACTAATGGTTGATTTCTTGTTACAAAATAACTTCATAGGATAATCACAATGTATTTTCAGTGCCATAACTCTAACCTCTGAATAAACCACTACACCCTGCTTCTTTCTTCTCCAAGTAACAAGATTTTAAGTAACAAGATTTTTACACAAGTACAATAATCAGCAATAATCAGCAATAGATCTTCAATCACTTACTAAACCAGCAATGTATATGCCTCAATAATTAGATTTTTCACCTCTTTTGAACAAGAGGCCTTAAGAGCATACCAATAAAAGCAACCACCATGACAAGTTATTTTTCTAATCATTTCATATTCCAATATACACAATTCAGGAGAGGCAAAATTAGTATTCATCGTTATAAATCAACCTCTGCGCAAAGGTGGACTTCACAATTCACATCCCCAAAATGACATAAAAATGATGCATTTCACTTTGATCCAATAACTAGACAGATTACAAATTATAACATATCTAAAACCAGTGAGGATCTTTTTTCAAATGAAAAAATCCACCTGCAATGCATTAACCTTCTTCTCCAAACTCCTTTGTGAATCTCTCATGAACCTCAAGGTCATTTTTGCTTACTGTGGGCCTTTGTCTTGCCAGAACCTTCTCAAAATCAGTTCTCGTGATAGGAGGTGGAAGAATCTGCATAAGTTTTAAGGCGGTAAGTATTTCCTCCTCTTCACTTAAAGATGTGTATAATAAAAACCTAGTCCAAAAAAACATCACAACTCGATTTTTCCAATTCTAATAATAAAAACATCCCACTGCCATCAAAATCTATAGAATCATATGAATACCTTAGAAGCAAGTCCTTGTGTGGCAAGATCCTGCATTGTAGTTTGAACTGCGCCCTGTTGCTTTGGTCCACATGGGATCCACATACCCTCCGGACTCTTACAGAAGAACATAGCATCTTGGGTTTTGCGAACAGGTTCAAATAAAACATCCTTCACCTGAAGAGATCAAAAAGCTTTCTAAAAAATATCCATCCCAGTAAAATATTATTGAAATCAGTTATTTCACATTAGAAGTTAAAAACTTACACAGACAGCTATATCTGAACCTGAAAACCCCCCTGTCCTGCTACCCAAATATTCAAAATCACTTTCAGTCAAATTATGAGGAGTATCTCCAAGATGCACCTGCTCAATTTATCACACCCAAAAAAAACAAACAGTAAAACCATTTGCTAGGTTTATCTAAATAAAATTCAGTATTCGATAACCATGGATATTGCCCTTGCCTTGAACATGTGTTGGCGAGCCTTCAATTCTGGTAGTGGAATATATATACGCTTATCAAAACGACGCCTTATTGCCTGCAAATACAAATTGATTAGCGAAAATAAATGTTTATTCACTCTATAAGAGGTGATAAATGCATAATTATTTTTGTCTTACCTGGTCTAAAGCATAAGGTGTATTTGTTGCTGCAAGAACGAGAACTTTCTGGTCATTGTTTCCTACACCCTACAAAGTAAAGCAGGTAAACTACATTAAATGGAGAAAAAGTGACACTCGTTGTGACAAAATGAGCAAAAGTGACACTCGTTGTGAAACAGAGGGAGCAATAAGAAGCACCGGGGCCAGCATGAAAGAGCCTAATCTTATTGCACTATTCAACTATTATGTCCTGGCCTCGCATAAGCTACAACAACAACCAAGCCTTATCCCACTAAGTGGAGTCAGCTTGGTTGTTGTAAGATTGGAAATTATTGTTTCATATGAAGGCTTAGTTTGCTTTTGTAATGAATTTTTAGAGTTGAGACTTTAACCATGTATTATACTACATAAATGAGACTGTGCTGTGCATCAAGCAATTCAACTATAACCTACTAAACTGATTACTATGCTTATCAATATATACTCACCACACAACTATTACCTGCATCTGCACCAGAAGTTCTGTTTTAATTCGTCTTGAAGCTTCACTCTCATTGCCTTCTCCACGCTGGCCACATAGGGAATCTATTTCATCAATAAATATGATAGAGGGGGCACTTTCTCGGGCCATTTGGAAAAGGTTTGAAACCAATTTTTCACTTTCACCCATCCACTTTGAAACAAGATCTGATGAAGAAATACTGGTGAAGAACTCAAAAGTTAAAAATGCTTACAAGAATATTCCCACTTATGGACCTAACTGATAACAATACTAAAGATCTATTTTAATAGATCAAATATATCTCAAACTCATGTAAAATAGGAGTAATTTTCTAGACGAATAAGGTACAGAAAATCAAAGGATGGATTTTAAGATAGTTATAATGATGCACATATCATTTTCTAAATGCTACTCAACCAGCAATTGTTAACAACCCAGACAATATATATCATAAATCTTCAAATTTTTAGCATTGGATTTACCAAGACGCTACATCATATTCATTTCAACTCCTTTCATTTCATCTTTACCATATGATCTTGTCCATGTATATTATCAAAAAATGATAGAGGATAAAGGAAGTGAAATATAATAATTCAACAATTTTTTAGCAATAACAAAGTAATTTCCAAAGACATCATTGTTAGGAATTTGAATTTTACAGTTGAACTAGAATTCTAATGAGATATCTAATGGCTAGGCAAAGTCCTGTGAAATTGCTTACCTGAAGTAAAAATTTTAATGCCTTTAAAAGGGCATGCAATGCATAAATTGAGAAAATATAAATTTTTCAACTTGTGAATATGATTTCATTAATCTGGTAAGTTCCAGTATGGAGATTTCTAGATCTCAATAAAATTTATTTTACCTGAAAAATGTTGAATCAGCCTCAGTTGCAACTGCCTTGGCTAAATATGATTTACCAGTTCCAGGAGGTCCGTACAACAAAAATGCTCTCCATGGTCGTCTTTTACCTGAAAGAGACCATAAGAAAACATAGTAAACATTTAATGAAATTCCACATAAATATACATTCAATACTTGTATACATCTCATCCTGTTAATATATCATTAAAGTTTTCAGCTCCCAATACAAATCTTTTTTTCACCTTATTTCATGTATCCAATGCTATTTTGTCCAGGGAACACTCATTTCATTTCATGTTTCCAAAGTTTCATAAAGCATTGAGGAGTTCTCCACACAAAACATTGAAAACATGAAACAAAGTGAAAAACAATTGCCATTTTTGCAAATAAAATTGAAAACAGAAAACAAATTCAGAGAGTTAAAACAAAAAAATCAAATAGGCCCTGTATTACTACTTAAAATAAACAAAGTCAATAACCAAAGCAACAAACTAGCTAACTTTCAACTGCAAAAATCTCATCTTTGCATATAAAATTGGATATGTTGATTACGTTCACTCCTTGATATCCACCTCCCCTATCATATTCTATCACCTCCCCCACAAGACACATAAACAAAATCATTTTACCTCAGTATGCATAACCATTCTCAGTTATCTAAACATAGTGACTAGAATAGAAGCTAATATTGATAATACAACAAAACATATCTATATCTAGCACATACACTTCACAATGAAAGTGTGTCAGGTGGCTCGCCACACCCATAAAACAGAAACCCGTCTAGTTACATTCAATTACTTCAATTTTCTTAAACATCTACTAGTGTCCAGTCCAGATGTCAGACAGTATGTGTCTTGTGTCTGTGTCTAACAATAAGATAGCAATTAATTAACCAACCAGTAAAAAATTGAGGGAACTTGACAGGCAAAATAACAGCTTCCTGCAAAGCCTGTTTAGCACTCTCCAACCCAGCAACATCATTCCACTTAACATTCGGCTTCTCCCTAATAATCGCCGAATTCAACCCCGCCCTAAGCTTCGCCTGCTCCGGATCCTCTCCATCTCCTCCACCTTCACCATCTTTCCCACCACCATCCTTACCCTTACTCTTGGGCCTCGTAGCAACAGCAGCGTCGCCATTAGAAGCTGGACCAGGCCCACCATCATCAAGCACAGCCCTGATCTCCTCAGCACGACGCAAATACTCGGTGAATTTCTGCGTAATAGCTTCTCTGATTTTAGGGTTCTTCTCGTACTTCAAATGAGTCTTGAAATACTCCAAAGCGTTCATGTATAAAGGAAACGCTTTCGCGTAGTTTCCGGCATTGTCTTCGTGAACGGCTTGCTTCACGTACTCTATCGCCTGTTCCTTGAAATTGCTATACATGGTTTTTTTATCAATTCAACACATATGTATGAGAATTGAGAATTGGAAAAATTGGAATCGAGAATTGGTTTATGGAGGAAAAGGCGAAACCCTAGAAAAGCACGATCGTGTTTTGGATTGGGAAGGTGGTGGTGATAAGGATCTGATCGGGATCAAGAAGAAGAAGAAGAAGAAGAAAAGGGGGAAGGGTTTTGTTGTAAATAACGCGTTTTGATTAAGTTTTTGTGGAATTTTTTGTCCTTAACTCATGCTATTGTGTGTTGATTTTACTTTTCTTTTTTAATAATGAAAATTGGTTTTTATTTGATTTCGTAAATTTTGTTCAAAAATATATTTTTGTATAACTTTAATTTCCTAACTAAGAAATGTCCTTAACTAACTCAATAAATCTAAACTAATTATAGTTTCTTTTTTTAAACACTTGATTCATAATTTTTTCAAATTTGTCTTGAAATAGTTCGATATATGTTTTATCCTTTTCATTTTCTATTTCTTTTTCTTGTAGATCTCAAAAACCTCCTTTGTTTTCTCTTCTCTTGTCTTTTCTCTGAAACCCTATAATCGTCGTTGCACCTTTTACCGTCGCTTGAGAGAGAAACAAGGAATAGAAACTTGCTTCACAGTTGCAAGGTGTGTGGTTTGCAGGGTTCACAGTAGCTACGAGTTTGTTGTTGTTGATTCACGATGGTGGTATGAGTCTGAAATTTCACAACTAAAACTGTAATGGCAATTCATTGATTTTATTTATTTTTTTTGCGTTTTCATCTATTACAGATTCGTTTTCATGTTCATTTTTTCTTAGTTGTCTTCATCTTTTTGGTGTGAAGATGTAGGTTACTCGGTTGTATTTTTTCAGATCCAGTTTTTCGGTGTGAAGATGTTCATGTTCGTGTTCATTTTCTTCTTTCAGATCCCGTTAATTCCCTTTTTGAGGTATTACAGTCTACTCACATCCACCAAAACATTTTCTTGATTTGTGAAAATGTTTTTGGATCAGAATAGTTGTTACACTTTACTCTACATCAATATTTAATTTTCAGTTACATACTTGTTTGAAACATTGTTTTTTTTTCTTATTTATATTCTAAAATGTCATTATGCCCAGGTACTATGATTTTACTGTATGTTGTGTTAGTGAAGTCAGGTTTCATTCAAAAAGTATTTATGTCTCAGACAGATTTTTCGGGTAGAAACATTTTATATATTTCACCTGACAAATTAACTAAGAACACTTGCCAATGTGTTCTTCTAACACTATATTGCTTGAAAATTGAAATTGTCTTTGACGTTTGAAGTTTGACATATTTATCTAACTTACAATTCCTTAATGATACGGAATTTGCAAAAACATTTGTTGGCCAATCCAGACGCTCATTTTTTTGATGAGGTATTTATTTCTCTTTTTCAACTTTATAGATAATTTGATTGTTGTTGTTTTGTTTTGTTTTTTCTCTTCACCATTCTTTTATCTGAAAATAGATAATTTACTACAACATTGGAAATCTTCAAGGCCAATAACTTAGCAGGTTAAGTTTGTTTTTTATAATTATGTACGATGAATGTAGCTAATTTGATATGAATTGAGTATTAATTATTTAACGATCTCATCTCTGCTAGGTTCTTGCATTATGAGACTATCCAATTATGCTTTGACTCAATTATGAGTTTTGACTCAAGTGTGTTGAAGTATAAAATTTTAATAGCTTAGTATAAAACTTTATTAAGCATACTGATATGAATTTTGACATAATTATGTAAAACTTTAAAACTTTGTTATATATACTTTTATGAGCTTTGACTCAATTAAATTATAAAAATTTGTTAAACATATTGTTATGAGCTTTGACAAATTATGATGAAGTAACAAAAATTATGGGCTTAGTTGTAGCAAAAGTAATTGTTACAATGATGCCAAAACTGAAGAAAATGCACAGGTTATTTATACGTCTATAATCATGTTATACATGAAGTCGCATCTTTACGAATACAAACTGTTGCATCCCAAAATTTGCCCTATTCACTTTATCTTATATGGCTTATGCTTCATCATACATACTCATGCATTCTCATGATAGGATCAAAGTATCTTGGTTCCCAGTTTCTTCTACAGACTATAAAAGATGATTGTTTGGTCAGTCAGTGCAAAAGGGGGTCCAATATCCTTAATTTTTGACTCTCTTAAACTACAAGGGTTTCTTATATTTCTAGACATCTCATTTGTCCCATGTGATTATTAGAAGATGGGAATTTGCAAAGTTTTGAGGAGAAATCACATTTCTACTATTCACCTCTCAAAATCAGGGTTTTGAATTTAATCAAGAAATCAATGACTTTTTGGGAAAGACTTGATTATATGCCTCTCTACATGTTGATAAACACCTATGATTGAATGATTGAGTGTCAATTTAGATTGGAAGAGGTTCAATTGATCCAAATGGGCAAAATAGTCATTTTGACCAAAAGTCAACCAAAGTCACCAAGTAGACTTTTGGTCAACTACCAATTCAAGTATTCTCTTTCATATCCCATGATCATTTATGGAATTGAATCAAGAGAAATGGTTAAATTGGAGTTAACTTGTTGAAAAGTTATTTGATTTATTTAAAAATCTCCCAAGTCCCCATAATGTAGAACTTTCACCATTCATAACTTGAGCAATTTTTGTTTAAATGAAGCAAATTTTACATGCTTGGAAAGCTTAGAGAAAGTTCCACAAGTTTGTCAATGTGGGTTTCAACCCCAAAAGTGAAGCATTTAGGAGATATTGAGCTTAGAAGGTGAAGGCACAAAGTTGTCAAAATAACAAGTCACACGCATACTAGGCTAAGCATTTCTACAAACAGTTGGTGTGCCATTTTCATGAGTGAATTTATTTTGATTCAAGTATCAATTGAAAAATTGGAAAGAAGCATGTTGAAGATTGTTATATGAGTTTCATTTAGCTTTTTGAATCACATCAATTGGGCCATTATTAAGGAAGATGTAGTCAATCAAAGTGAAGACCTCAAAGTTACAATTTTGGCAAGCCATGCATGTCCATGCACGCGCGTGCCCTGACCTGTCAGGCTTATTTTTTTCCAAACTTCTCATTGAAATATCTCTTACTTCCATGCATCAATTTCATTAATTCAAAGTTCTATAATGATCTACATTAAAAGAGCTTTCTAAAGGCCTCCTATGCAAAGAAATCACATGAACAAATTAAGAGAAATTGGAGAAGGAAATGAGCTGGTCAATATGTTTGGCATGCAATCAGTTTACTCTCCCATGTGATGCTCATGCCAGGTCACCATTCATGCTTCACTCACCTCTTTCTGAAACGACTACCAGTTCATTTAGGAACAACATAAAGCGCAACATGTCACAAGATTATCTCCAAGGACTCTAAAAACTCAAAGACCCTTATACCCCTAGCAAAACTTCTTCAACACACTTCCCCCTTTATATAAACTGTTCTTCATTCTCATTTCAGGAAGATTGATTAATACACACACCAAATCTCAGAAAATTCTCCTTAAATCTAAACCTCTATCTCAACTATTCTTCAAATTTCTCTCAAGAAGCAAGAATCGGTTCTGCATTTTTCATCAAGATCTCTTCAATTTGTTGTTGTTTCCTTCTAATTCAAGTTTGAACAAGTGATTTTTCGGGTTTCTAAGCCTACAAGCTCGACTTGAAGAACTCAGTGGAGTTGTTTCCACTAGGTAATTACTCAAAAACTCCATAGATCTGGATTTGAGCTCAGATCTGCATCTATAAGTGTTTTCAATTGTTGAATTCATATTCATTATGTTGATAGCTGGCCGAACAGTAGGTTCGAGGTATAATTTTGCTTGAATTTGAGTTTGTGTTGTGTTCTGATTTTGGCGCAAAAGTGATAAATCCGTGGAAGTTTGCTCATTTTTCTGTGAGATTATGTGTTCGTTTCATGTAATTCTTAACATCACGTTGTAGATCTCCGTGAGACCTACAACTTTGCTTCAGATCTTATGTATTTTCATGGTAAAACGAGTAAGACGTGAGGATTTGAAGATCACTGCATATTCACATTTTTAGGGTTTGTTTAAACAGTTGCATTAAAGAAGATGAAATGTGATTGGTCCGTTTGAATTGTTGGGTCCCACGCGGGCCATTTTCTTGTATTATTTTTGAATTTTTGTTTCATATTTTCCCTCTTTTTTTTATTAACTTCTTGATTTTATTTTAAATAATTTCACCCATCCAAAAATTATCAAAAAAAAATGTAGACTCTATTTTTAGTCTATTTTCACATTAATAATTTTATTTCTTATTTTTATCATTTTTAGAATATTAAATAAATCAATGAATTCAATTAGGGTTTTTATCATCTTTTAAGTTCTAGAATTTTATTTTCCAAGTTTTATTAATATTAAAAATCCACAAAAAATATACTAAGTTTAAATTTAAATCTACTTCATAAAAATACTTTTTTGATTTTATAAATTTTTTTGACAAGGAAATAAAATTAATCAATAGTTATATTTTTTTTTTCTTTTTTTTTGTTACATTGTGCAAATAATTCTTGTTTGATATCTCGTTTTAATGATAAAATTCCACAAAAATATACTTGTTGGCCCTTAGGTATTAAACTAATTTTATATAATTTTTAATTGAATTTACATTTCAACTTTCCTATTTTTCCAAATTTTAGAAACTAATGATAGTTTTTGGACTTTCTTTTTGCTTAAGCTAGAAGAAACTTTTGAAACCCTAATTTCCTTTACTTATAAAAACCAAAGAAAATATGTTTAAATTTCTTGGATGACTTAAAATTATAAACATCATTTTTGCTGAATTTTAATTTTTGATTTTACATTTTTTTTACAAATATTTTGCTAAAACTCTCTAATTTGATCCTTTTGTCAACTAGTCTTGAAGATTCTCAATCATTTTTACCTATTCAAATTAATCCAAGAGATTTAAATTATTTCTTTGACTTTTATAAATCTTTAGGAAGCTAGGATTTAATTGGCTCAAGG